GTCACTCTCCAGGCCTTCCCTCGGTAGCCGCACACACAGAGGTTTTGGCTGTGGTGAGCGTGGCCAACTCTGAAGCCAGCCGGAACTCTGTTCCTGTGTGTTCCTGCCCAAAAATAGCCCTGGAGACATCCCTTCATATATGTAACATAATTATATCCCAACCTGCCTCTCCACAATGCCTGAGGCAGCTTACAAAATATTAGCATGCACAATTAAAAAGAAGATTAAACACATGAATACATCTAGTTAATACAGCGTTGTCCCTAATGGCTGATAGAGCTGTTCCTTATTTATGCCCACTAAAAGCATTCTGAAATAATTCTGCTTTGTGCCTTATATAGAAGGAAGAGCATGTAGGAGCTTTATGTACAGCATCGGCCATGCTGTTTCATAGCCTGGGCACAGCGGCTGCAAATGAGCGCCCTCTTGAGGAGTCTGTTTTCTCATGCAATCCAGATCAACAATGAAAAGTCTCCTTTGAACACCTTCAAACCCTGAGGTACTAATCGGCCTTTCCTTCTCTCTTTCCTTTCTCTGAACAGCAAAACAAGAAGAACCAAAATGGGGTTTGCCATGTCGAAAGTAATAGTAAGAGCCGAACTGGAAAAACTTAAAAACGCTTTGAAAGAAAACAATCTCCAAGATCTTTCAAAACAAATTAATGAAGAACTGAAATCACTAAGCAGCACCACCCTCGACATCGCCATCACAGGGGTGACGGGCACTGGTAAATCATCCCTTGTCAATGCTCTGAGAGGTATGGGTGATTTTGACAATGATTCAGCTAAGACTGGCAACACAGAAACGATGAAGAAGCCAGGTAAATATATACATCCCGTATTCCCCAATGTCACCGTGTGGGATCTACCGGGAATTGGGTCATCTGAATTCAAAGCAAATGAATACCTGCAGAAGACCGATTTTGCGAAGTACGATTTCTTCATTATTGTGGCTTCAGAACGCTTCACAGAAAACGACGTCCTACTCACCAAGGAAATCCAGGAAATGAAAAAGAAGTATTACTTTGTGCGTTCCAAAGTAGATCAGAGTATACAGGCTGAAGAAAGGAACCCAGACTTCCATAAAGAGGAATCCCTTGAAAAGATTAGGCAATATTGCTGTGAAAATCTGAGAAAAGCCGGAGAATCTAACCCAAGGGTTTTTCTCCTTTCCAGCTGGAACTTGAGAGGGTATGATTTCCCCCTCTTGCTCAACACCTTGGAAAATGACCTCGATAGCCTCAAGAGACAGGTTATCATTGAGTCAATGCCCGCTTTCTCAAAAGAAGCCCTGGAGAAGAAAAAGGCTGCTATGGAGGCCCTTATATGGAAATTAGCCCTTGTGTCTTGTGCTATGATATCCCAGTCCCAGGACTCTGCCCTTCTTGTCCCAGAACTGCATCCTTGTGGCGACATTTCCTTCTTGGCGGCAACAATGAAGAAATTCTGCCAGGTCTTTGGCTTGGATGAAGAGTCCCTTGGCAGACTTGCACATCGGATCCACAAACCTATTGATGAGCTTAAATCAGCTGTAAAAATAGTGCCCTTGGCCAGCCAAATCACCGAAGAATTTGTACTCCATCTGGCACTTAAGTCAGATGCATGCAGGGTACTGATGGCAGTCGAATTTGCTCTTGATTTCATACCTGTGTTGGGCTCTCTAGTTGGTAACGGAACTTCTTTTGCAACTACCTTCTACATGCTGAAAAGCTTTCTGAGTGACGTCAAGGAAGATGCTGAGAATGTTCTGGCAAAAGCTGCAGAGTAGCAGGATGAGTGAAATGCCAAGACACCCATCTGGAGAACAGATCTGAGGTCAATAGCATCTGAACTTCATGCAGAGAACAAGGAACCCAAACTGGAGAACGGATTATAGATTTCATATTTGTGTTGGAGGCTTGGTTTTGTTTTGTTTTTTTAAGAACCACATTCTGCATGCTGATAAGTTTTCGGCCAAATCTCAAAAGCTGTTGACTGTTCAGAGCCCCAACTAAAAATTGGAAATGCCCAATTTAGATGTATACGCTTGTCAAGAGCTCTTGAAATATTGATGAACTGGAGAGAGTACAATGAGACTGTTGTTTGAAAAAGAGACATCGAAACGAACAATAGCTCTGAGGAAGTTCGTCTCGTTTGCCTTGACGTCGTCACTGACTGTCTGATGGAATCCTGTCTTTGAGAAACAAAGATTAAAACATTATGACGTTATTGCATATTAGAATTTAGCTTTTGTCATTGAATTATTCACACTGTATGCACTTTTGCAGTTTATTTTGTGTATTGCATCCAAAATGAGAAGCAGGACCCACAATCATTCACACTACCTTTGTCAAAACATGGGGGAATTTCAGACAGGCAGAATCTCCCGGTAGGGAACCAATTCTCAACCGGGTTGTGGTCTGTCATTTCAGACAGAACCCGGTTGAGAATCGGTTCCCTACCGGGATCTGACTGCCATTTCAGACAGGAAAGTCCCTGTTCCGTATAGGAACCGGGAGGGAAGCGATTTACCTGTCAACCGCTTCCGAGAAGTCTCCCGTTCCCTCTCCCGGTTCCGATACGCTTGTTTCGCGCCTTTTTTCGGCCGCACGGGGTTTTTTTTTGAACGTTCGGCTTATAGCGATATATTGATATAACGCTATACCAGAACCTCAAACGATCGTAATAGTGACCGCATTGGAATGCATTGACTCCACTAGGATACTTGCCATGGCTGCATCTGCCCCCTGGGAACAAGTATCCTATTGGACTGCAGGCTTACAGCTGGGCACCAGGGCATCAGTGATTGGTGACAGCAATCTAGCTAACCCTTCCATGCCCTGAGACAAGCCAGGAGAAGCTGAAGGGGTGACAGCTTGCCAGCTGGAGACAAACACACCATTGGACAGCAGGATTTGGAGGGAAAGCAGGGCATCAGGGATTGGTGAGACAGATGTTGCTACCCCTTCCATATCCTGAGACAAGCCAGGAGAAGCTGAAGAGGTGACAGCTTGCCAGCTGGAGACAACCACCCTATTGGACAGCAGGATTTGGAGGGAAAGCA